CGCTTTGCCAGCTTTTATATTAAAACTTCAGAAACAAGTTTTTTTTTCTGTCTCGTGCATTTTAATGCGGGGTAAAAGCGCGTCCGAGTCAGTTCTACTAGACTGCAGCGCCAAGTAATTATCTATCTCTTTAACAGGGAACCGCGAAACCCTATTACGTAAAATTACGAGGCGTCTGTATGCTGTAATTTGCTGCTCATTCGGTTACGTACTTGGCCACACCTAATCAAGATTTTGGATGAGCCAGCTTGTCTTTCTGAAGAGTTACTTTCGTTTTCTATGCATCTTCCCGTACTAATTACCATAAATTAAGGCGCCATGACGCCTTAACCAGCGCCATTAATTAAGAAGCCCGGCCACGATGAGTCGCCACCCGGGTAGCAGTGTCTTACATCTGGCTTAGAATGGAAAAACAAAAAAAAAAAAAAAAACAAAAAAACAAAAAAACAAATGCATTGTCCTTGAATATAAAATATTATATGGCTTACCAACGCATAATGTTTTTCGTCTAATAAATTCGGTCTCGCGAGGACGTAGTTTTGTTAAGCAGGGGTGACCCTGCTTATACATCATACAAAAAAAAAAAAACAAAAAAAAAAAACAGTCTGCATAGAGATTCGAACGCGAGTCACCGCAAGATTCGTGCTTCGGATGCCGCATGGCAGTGAGTTCAAAAAGAAACTTGGCACGCGGCATTTGAACTACGGAGAAATTGCGGTGCCTCGTGTTGGCAAACTGTCTTTTGAAAGTTGTATGAGCTGTGTGACCTCCGCTTTAAAAAGCGCTTAGCGATGCGTGCTGGACAAGGTGGATCCTGGTCAAAAGCTCACCGCGAACAAAAGCTTACCGGACCAAGGTTCACCGCGTTTTCTGCAGACCCGGACAAAGGCTCACCGCTTTTATGGCGCGCTCACACTGGAAGCGGATCCGCAATCGCAAAGCGGATCCGCACGTTCTCAACCACGAAGCGTCTGGGATCCAGCGGTTGGGACGCCTTTTTGCCAACCGCTTCGGGACCGATTTCTCGCAACCGCTTTCGCGAATTGCGAAGCGGCTACCAATCTCAACCCGACACATGCAGACGTGACGTCGCTGGCTCTCGAAACAAGATGGCATCTGTCACTGGTGAGGTGTTCATGGCGCTGTAGTCCTAGCGTTGAAGCAGACAAAGCAACGAAGAAACGTGATGCTCACGTTCGTCACTTGACTCCGCCGCGAAAAGTATTGACCCATAATGTTAACGGGCTTCACTCTGGTGATTTGGTTCGGGTAAAAGTTTCTTTAATATTCGGGGTGCCAAGGTCTGCCAAAGATCTTACTCGCGACCTTGTTAGTCTTTTGCCGGCAGAAGATCGGAACACGTCCCCAATCGATCGACATGGCGGCTTTTGTAACGCAGTCGCATGAACTACTGAAAGCACACGACACTGCATGACCACTGCGAAGACCGGTAGAGACATCGTGAGTCTATTGCGTAGCTACCACACTACCACGGAGCTAGCACGGCACCTGCGCTAGATCGGCCTGTAAGGTTTATTGACAATTGGGTTACGGGTTATGGATACAGCGTTTAGTTGGTCAGCCATTATAGTTGCGACGAGTCACACGCTGTAGATGAGTAATATAGCCAGTGCATTACAACCGCTAGCCTGGGGTCTTTAACGGGCATCACGCAGTAGTGATACACGACCGCACGCCGGTACGACGCTCAGCCAGATCGAAACGGGCAGGGGTGGGGCTCGAACCCAGGATCCCTGGGTTCTGCAGCGCGAGCTTTCGCTCCACCCGCGTCGAGCTGGGTGTGCGCTTTAGCCCACTCGGCCACCGATCTTTTTTTTTTCTTTATAACCTGATTTATTCAAACAAAACTCACACAAACGCACATATTTACATTGCGCACACGTGGTTACACGACATGGTTACATGACAGGTATATACATATGAGGAAGAAATATGAAATCGTCATCCCTTCATTAGCTGACGTTGACACCTCAAAATTCCCTTAACGTGTCGAGCGTTTCAATTCTAGGTAACCAATCAGGTACTGTCTCTTGTGTCCCCAATAAGGTTTATTTCTACCTAATAGGACATAGAGAACCTACTTAAGAAATAAAGTGTACGTACCAGACGATGCATAGTTAATCCATGCGGCCTTTATTTGAGCGTAATATCAAACAAACAGTAGACTCGATCGACGTACGAGTGACGAGAGGAGAGTCCGCCACCAACGAATTCGCCACAACCGCTAGACACCACAGTCCACCAGTTCAGCTCACTACTCCGAAAATAATAAGAGCAAACATTGCGGCGGAAAAACTGGCCCTCTATCCCGAATACAAGATCAGCAATCCATGCGGGAAGGGCCCACTTCGAAGAGAGGGTCGGTGGCATCCTCTTTTGAGTCAGCAAGGCGCGCTTACTCCTGGCTGGGTTTTGCTTGTTTACGAAGTCGAGGGAATCGCACGCGGGGTTTGCGGGTCCATGTCTCTTATTTTGCTGCCCGAAACTCGTAATACGTGGAGGGACAAAGAGGTACAAGGACAAGGAGGGACAAAGAGGACAACGACAGCAGCGTCTCAAAACCAACACACACTCTAAAGAAAAAAAGGGTGTCAAAAGGTGTATTCTTACACTCTTTGTCCCATATAATACACCCCAGAAATTCAATTCGATGTACAGTGCCCTACAGTCGAACAGAGGACCCGAAATTTTACGAGGGGCTTGATAGCCGTATGGTACAACATTGTAAACAGCTAAAGTACGTATCAAAGACAAGATAAAGAAAACACCGAGTTTTTACAGTAGGGCCAAGAAAACCCCGATTATTTTTTTCGTGTTCAGTAAAACGTACTGTACATTAGCTATTTTAATAAGTTGTGCCACACGGCTATCAAGCCCCTCGTAAAATTTCGGGCCGTCTGTTCGACTGTAGGGCGCTGTATGTCGAATTGAAGTTTGGGGGTGTATTATATGGGACAAAGGGTGTAAGAATACGCCTTTTGACACCCTTTTTTCTTGAGAGTGCAGAAGTAATTTAATTTCAGGACAATCTTCTTTCCTGTTCTCTTTACATAGGACGAACCGCACGAAACAGATTCCCACGTCAGCATCAGCATCAGCGATAGATGGCTAGATAGCTTTACATCGTGGAAGTCTCAAGCACTCAAACACAGGCTTGAAAGCGGTCCGAAAAGTTCGGTGCAGACAGCATTTTTCAATGGTAAAGCCGTCCCTTCCAGGAAGCTACGGTTCCGTAGCTTCTGCACTCTAAGAAATTCCTGCACGTCTACTTAGCTGCAAAACACTCAGAGTCAATATCTGCGATCTACGAAATCAGCTCAGTGATTGATGAGGCGGAACATCCGTTTAGACCTAAATATGAAGTCTGCGCTCTGGCATTACGCAATGCAAAGCGTCATGCTTGCATTGCGTAATACCACAGCGCAGATTTAAATTTTTGGCCTAAACAGATGTTCCGCCGCATCATTCCCTCAGCTGATTTCGTAGATCATAGAGATTGGCTCTTCCATTGTTTTGCGGGTAAATAGACGCGCAGGAATTTCTTAGAGTGTGAGAGTGTCGGTCACTCCCAGAAGCCACCTTTTTAACCCTCTCCTTTTTAACATTCTCTGTAATAATAATTAAAAAAAAGTTGCAATTTTGTTTGGATGGCAGCAATTTCACGAAGATTGTAACGCAATAGATAGCTTGGCCCTCGATAGTATGGCGATGCCATAAATACACCGGATAATCTGTTTCAATACAGAAATATAAAACACACTTTAAATATTGCATAGGCAGGCAGAAATATACAACTCGGCGGAGTCCGGCCTTCCTGACGCCCGGCCTTCGTCAGGAAGGCCGGACGCCGGCCGAAACGTCGAAGAATAAATCGTTTGTTGTTGCTGTTTTCACCAAGGGTTTTTTTCTTCTCAGGTAAATACCCACGCCTTCGGCCTCCCGCCACCATGCTCGTTATATATATATATATATATATATATATATATATATACGAAACGTTGAAGAATAAATCGTCCGTTGTTGCTGTTTTCACCTTGGTGCTAGATGCCAGGCAAAGTTAGAAGCGCCAGAATCCAAATTTACGTAGAAGTAACAAAGGCGACGTGCACTGTGATCTACCGCGATTATTCGTGCGTTTATGTAGTAATAGTGAAACCAGCAAAACATTGTAACAGTCATACTTCTTGTTAGAGTCTTATCTTTAGTAACGTTATCAGAATTATCAAATTTTTCCTTTAAGGCGTCTTACAAAGCTTTAAAAACAATATGGGGGATTTGACAGATTTTCGCAGTGGCAGTCTACTTGAATAACACATAAGCTCTATCTAGATGCTATGGTTATTCTCTAAACATTTGAAATACTTCGTCAGACATGTTGAACAATGTTTTCATTCGTGTTTCACGTGATTAGACATGCTACAATAATAATAAAGTACTCAAACGGTGCCGACTTTAGTTGAGTCATAATATCGAATATAACGTTTCATTAAAATATTAATAATTAAGGACTTAAACCTTAAACCATAAACAGTTGGAGCCCCAGCCGTTCGTTATTTCAAGAGGGTTATGCTGAGGATCAGCAATAATGTATAACCTGTTTTAAGCTCTAACCGTTAAAAGGACGCAGCGAGCTCGAATGAAACATTATTTTTGAAAAGGCAATAAGACGGGAACACTTATAGGGCCTGGCATTTCATGAGTTGATAGTACCATACCTTTTACAAATCTGAGCGTCATCTAGGGGTTGCCACTAGCTGCTACATCAATTATCCGAAATCGTCAAATTCTTACCATGCACTCTGAGCATGCTCTGCACGCGAGCGCCGCGTCAGCGTTCAATCGCACACTTCACGCTCGAAGTGATTCCTTAAATATGGCGACCGCTGGTGCTGCTTTGTGAGATTGTGCAAAGGCTCTATTGCGACACCCTGCAAGGTACCCCATCGCTAATTTTAATTTTTCGTTTTTAATGTTCGCAGGATTCCGCAACCCAAGTTGGTCCACTTCCCCGCCAAAATGGAAGTGCGTTCACCGACGGCGACGGCGTCTAACCCCGCCTCCAGCGACTACCGCAGCCATTTCAACCACCCGTCCTCGTCAGGAGCGCCGACCTGCTCATTGCCGGCCCCGTCTACCATGTCCGCTCCAGCCCCCGCAAACCATTCTTGCCCCCTGACCTCAACGTCCTCACCCGAGCCCAGTCCCGTACCCGCTCAACCCCAAACCCAGCCCCACCAAGTCCAAAACCAAACGCAACACCACCAAACTCTAAGTTCCTCGCCCGCAATCTCGTATTCGAATCCCAGCCTCAACGCACATTCGCCTTCGAATTCGGTCGCAACCAATGGGCACACTGGAATCCTACAGGCCGTTCCGGAGGTCATGGGCAACGGAAACAACGCAGAGACGCCTCGCCAGTCCATCACCATCCTGAGTTCCAAAGGAACGGAGAGCCTCAAGGAGATGGTCCAGTGTCCCATCTGTCTGGACAGGCTGCACAGACCCAAGATGCTTCCCTGTCAGCACGCCTTCTGCTTTCTTTGCCTCCAGAACAGTGTGATGAAGGCGGACACGAGCAAGCTGCGTTGCGCAAAGTGTCGGACAGAGGTGCCTCTGCCCAAGGAAGGGATTTCGGGGTTCCCATCGAGCATCCATCTTCAGAATATTCTGGACTTGCTCGAATCGGACTATGCGTCCATGGACGAGCTGCTGCAGTGCTGCAGTTGTCAGACTGTGAGTTGCACTGTGTTCTGCGAACACTGCAAGTTGTCCTATTGCCCGCTCTGCATGGCTAGACACGTGGAGGAGCTGGCCAAGCAATTGGGCCAGATCGCTGACCAGCTGGAGGCCACTGTGGAGAAGATTGGGCTCCGCTATCAGAAGTTCGAGGTTTGTTTAGTGCCGACGTTTGTTTTACGTCTGCTTATGATAGCGTGCTTGACATGAGTTAACTGTAAGATTGAAGTAAATTTTACCGGAAGAGTATTGAATTGAAGACTGCGCAGCGTAACTTATTTTATCGCTTTCTTTACAGTGTATATCTAGACAAAAAACACACTACGTTCCTAAATTTCCGTATGTGTCGTTACCTATTTCTGCCGAAAGTCATACGACAAAAGCGGAGTTAAAATATTCTCGTTAAATTCGATGTTTTATTAAATGACAGCAGAGCGCTGTAACCTTCAAATAATCACGAAGCGTGTCTACATTGTTTAGTTATTCACGCTTTTTGGTGCCTTTTTGGTTTGTGTTTGTGAATGTCCTTCCAGGCGAGCCACAGCGAGCTGCAGGCGAAGCTGAAAGCAGAGGCTGGGAGGCGCGTTCGCTGGATCAGAGATTCCGAAAGTCAACTGTACTCGCGCATGGAGGCTGCCAAGGTGGCCGAGGAAGCCGGCTATAAGGAAGTCGTCCAAAAGGTGCAAGGCGCCGTGATCAGCTCCCGGGCTTTCGCCGCTAAGGGCTTTGACCACATCCAGGACCCAAGTGAAAAGGTAGGCGTAAAGTGCGCACTTGATAAGATGTTTCAAGAACGTCTCTATGAGGAAAGGCAAACAAATATTAAGACCCCCTACTGCACGCGTCAACCCTTTAAAATTCTAGCATGATATCGCATAGGCTAGCTGACTGAACACGTGGAGAGTGCAGATCGTTAGGGCTTTAGAGAGGAGAGTCAAAACTATAAGATGACAAGATATATTGGCTTATGCACCGAAAGGACTTCAATATGAGAAGTATTCTGCTAAATATCCCTGCATAGGTTGTACTTGCCAATAGAAGTGTATCCGCTCAAATTTCACAAAAATATTTGTAATGAATTGCTAGGACTGGGGTCGCCTTACATTTGGTGTACGGTAGATATCTGCTCAAGAGGAGCTTCGCCCTCAGCTATACGATTTGCTTTCATTCCAATGACTCGACAGTATAATATATTAATGTTTGCAATAGCTAACGAACAAATCTTTTGCCACTTGCCAGCAACAGCAGCAACCCCCACACAGGAAAAAGAATATATATTTATATATATATATACAGAAAAGTGGAAGGCAGATGTAAGCAGGAAATGGCATAAGAGGTGTCTTCGTCTTTTCCGTGCTTTTTGACGTAAAACTATTGTTTTGAGAAACCAACTAAACTAACTATAGCCAGGAACAACCTCCTGCGGTAGCCAGGAGCAACCTCCTGCAGTCAAAGATACGTTAAAGCGTGCCTCCGCCTACCTTGAGCGCCGAATAAAACTGCGCGCGCAGCCTTCTCCTTTTCTAGGAAGTGCTACAAAAAAGCCTCCGAGTATTAGCGGCGAGAAGTTATGGTGGCGCCCTCCTACGGTTCCCCTTTGTGACGTCATTACCTTGCAAACAACAAGTTCGATGGTGTTTGTAAATAGCATGGTGGAAGCTTGAAATCAATGCGCTTTCAAAGGAACACTTCCAACACCGTCAAAATTAAAATTCTTTCATTCCTCTTATTTCCGTCGATGATATACCCTTTCCGACATCATAACTCAGCGTTCGGCCAATCGCGGAAGGCCGACCACAACGACGCTTTCGGTCGCGCTCGTCGCCAATTAGCGGCGAGAAGTTATGGTGGCGCCCTCCAACGGTTCCCCCTTGTGAAGTCATTACCTTGCAAACAACAAGTTCGATGGTGTTTGTAAATAGCATGGTGGAAGCTTGAAATCATTGCGCTCTTAAAGAAACACTGCCAACACCGTCAAAATTAAAGTTCTTTCATTCCTCTTATTTCCGTCGATGATATACCCTTTCCGACGTCATAAGTCAGCGTTCGGCCAATCGTGGAAGGCCGACCACAGCGACGCTTTCGGTCGCGCTCGTCGCCAATAGGGATTATTCACTGGCGGCCATAGCTGTGTGCGCGAATGCTGAGCGCGTGCTGATGGCGAGCTTCCACAGTTCTTTTGTAACGCGCATGCCGCACCCTCAAGGTTGCCGGTCTTAGCAGCCTATTAATGTTAACTCGTTCTGAGCATGCGCTCTAAACAGCACCCACAAGTATGGCGTCCAGTGAATACTCCCCATAGCCTTTTTTATTTAATCTGTAGTTATTCGTTTTTAATCAAACTCATGTTCCGGCGATCTAGTGTTTTTTGTCCTCAGCACAAGCTAGACTCTCTGCTATTTTTGAAAGAGATTCCCAGTCACCAGACTCGTTTCTTTTGAAGCGCTGCATTGATGTTATAAAAAAACTTTTACTAGTGGAAAAAAAAAAGAATTGTTAATGTGATGTTACCCAGTAGTGACGTGTTCGCGGCTAAAGGCGAACGATGCTGTTCGGTTGTGGGCAGAGCAGTTTTATAAGGAAGATGGTATGAAATAGTAACCTATAGATTAAACGTTGCCTTTCCAGCGTTTCTGATGGAGGTCAATAATAATATAATTCTCAATCACCGGGTGACAATTATTTCTGGCCTTTTGTAACTAAATATAAAAATCCTAATCCTTGCGAGATGAGATAGGAAATGAAGTTCCTTTTCTCCCTCAGATCCGAGTCTTCATGCAGCTGCACCAAGAAGCTGGTGACGCTTTATCCGAGGGCACGACGGTGGGAAACACCCAGATCACCTTCGATCCGGATGCCTTCAGTGTGACCATCGAGTGCAGGTCAGACGCCGCCGACGAGGACACGGAGACTGCAAGTTCACCCAGAGGCAGCCCCGATTGCACCACCCAGTCTTCTCCAAACGCATCTCTTCCGGGCTCGCCAACGGGGGCCCTAACGACAACACCAAACCAAATGGAAGTCCAGAAGCAATCAGCGGACGCACAATCGAGGCTCTACCGCTCCAAGTCCTTCCTGACCAGAACCCGACTCGGGAGCGGACTAGTCCAGAGGCCTTCTGGTGTTGCAGTGTCCCCGTGGTCTTCAGAGATCTTCGTGGTTTCCATGGACAACCACAAGGTCCTCACGTTCGACTCCACTACCGGAAAGTTCCTGCGGTCGTTCGGCAGTCGAGGCCAGCAGGAGGGCGAGTTCCTGTGTCCATTTGGCATCGCTCTGTCGTCTGTCGGCCAGGAGATTCTCATCACGGACAAGTGGAAGCATTGTATTCACGTGTTCGACAAGGACGGCAACTTTCAACGGCAGATCGGCATGAAGGGGCGTTCTGCGGGCCACTTCAGAAGCCCGGAGTCGATATGCATTGACAACACGGGTAGAATCTACGTGTGTGACACGTGCAACCATAGAATTCAAGTGAGACATTTCTTATTTCGTTCACGTAATAAAACACCAACCATGTCTTTTTGTGGGTAGCTAAACCCTTGAACATAGCGACATTATATATATATATATATATATATATATATATATGTATATATATATATATATATATATATATATATATATTGGTTCAAACGCGAAACAAAGACGACACAAATAATAGACAGGAGCACTGCATGCATAGTGTCATTGTTTTACTTATCTCCTGCCGATCGCATGTTTTCTAGCACTCTATCCCGAGCCTGAACTACCGCGATCGATGCTTTTTATTTATATTACAAACAACCACGTTTCTATTTATATTACAAACAACCACGTTTTAGTAACTGGGAACACATCGTGACCAGTAGTTATATCATTAGCTTCTGATTATCATTTATAGGAAGTTTAGGTATTTAATCTGGTTTGTGGTGGGTCGATAATGGGAGGACGTGTACTGCGAGTGTGCAGCTTAGATTGTAAGCAGATGTGACTTAGCTCGTATGCTACATTGTATATAATTTATATTCTCCCATAAGCGGTCTTACTTCTTCGCAACACTATGTAATGTTTTTCTCTATTACCGAAGTCAGAGGCGATGATGGCAGTCTAAATTGCCTTCAATGAAGTTTCTTGTGTAAACTCAACGCTTTCAGCTGCTCTCAGAACAGAAGTTTCATGATATCATCGTACATTCATTGCGTACGGGAGTCCTATGCGTAGACGTTTTTATTACTTTATTCAGGAATGGTAATTCCACAAACCTTTCTTGCCAATAACTCTTCATATGTGAGGCCTTTTTACAGCGAAGCTGTTACGTGCTACGACCGGGAAAAAACAAATGCGTCCATGGATGTTAACAAAAAACTCCCGTTTAAACGGCGCTCCTTCGTTCCGATTGTTCGTGGCAAGTACAAATAAAAAGAGGGGCTACCCGCTTGAGTCTGCCTTTCTTCGCATTATAAGATAGTGAGGTCCTGATCCCTTATTATCATATATGGTCACCGACTTATCTCAGCTAAGAGTGGGCTGTGACGAGGCTGAGGGCAGAACGCGCCGACCTTACCTTCTTTTCTTTCGCTTCTGCCACGCTGATAAAAAAAAAAAAAAAAAAAAAAAAAACTTAAGCTCAATAAAATAAACTATTTTTGAGGTGTGCCTTGAAACATTTAGTTTAGAACTTGCCCATAAATGACCATAAGGCAATGATCACTTTAGTCACAAAGAAATAAATAAAGACAATTAAACAACGAAGTTGTGTACGTGTCTTCATTGGAATCATATGTAAATCGTATAGATGTCGTGTAGTTGTCTTAAAGGGTTCGTAAAGTTGTCGGAAAAATAACAGCTTCGCTGTTCTTCCATCTTCATGGGAAGTGGATTGGCTCTACAATTTTTTTAGAAGATAAACAGGACATCCTTGGCATTACAAGAGTCAGGTAGTTTTTGGCGTTCGGTAAATGAAAAGGAAGTTGTGAGAGAGGCTCACTGGAGAAACGCAAGTGATCTCTATACCGGGCTCGTTACCATGCAGGTACTGGACCACGACGGCATCTTCTTGCACGAGATCGGAACTCACGTGCAACCAGAAAACGCCTTCAACCGTTCACGGAGCATGTTCCAGGAACCTACGGGCATTGCAGTCACCCAAGACGCCCAGCGGGTAGTCGTGTGTGACTTTGGCAGCCACCGCATCCACGTCTTCTCGACGGACGGTGAGCACCTCTTCACCTTCGGCCAGAAGGGCGCCCTCAAGGGACAATTTGTCCACCCCGAGTGCGTAGCCGTGGACAGCCGCGGCTTTATTCTGGTCGGCGACAGCGGCAACGGACGGGTACAGATTTGCAGACCCGACGGTCGCCACGTGAGGACCTTCGGAAACAAGGGCTCCAGCAACGGCCAGTTCAGCTGGATCTCGAGTATCGCTGTGACGGCCAACAACGAAGTGGTTGTGAGCGACTTCAAGAACCACTCTGTTCAGGTGTTTTGAAAGGACAGTGGTGATACGCACTAGGTCAAGTGAATGAAGTGCTCCTGTCGCTTTATTTAGTATGCTGTAGCATGAAAGGTTGTGGAAGCATAGGAGTGAGCCCGTGGCATAGAAAACAAATTCTGCTTGTTACGTGTAGGCATGAACCGAGTGGGCTATCTAAGGATGCGCGCCGGCCTTCCTGCAATAACTGCATTGTACAGAATGTGATGATATGTATAGGATCGCTGCAGTAACTGTTATTTTGTTGTGAGCCTAATAGAGCGCGTTATGGTTCAGCCTCACTAGTGGGGCCAACACCTGTATTTGTTTGCCAAGAACACAGGATAAGTCCTTTAATGACCCAAACCACTTATACCCCATGTTCACAATTATGCTCCTTTGTGATTGGTTGTTGATGTTCCGGCACATGAAAAACATTTTCAAGCACGATGCATTTGGCATGTCGGCGAGCCGTGTTTCTTGTTTGTTGCTATAGTGGGAAAACGCTCTTATGAACCTTTTAGAAACCAAACTATCGTCGAAAAGGCAGAAGTCGCTGTGAAGATAATGCTGCTAGAAGGAACTGATCACATCTTCAGTTTGAGTAAGTCAGGGACCGAAGGCGCCAAGCTTGTCGGAAACAAAAACGAAGTTGTCAAAATGAGGGGAAAAAGGGCTTGTTTTGATTGCATAGAAAGAAATTGCTTTACTGCCGCGTGTGCTTTTGTGTGGGACGCAAACAAAGTTCGCTGACTGTATATTGTGTTGCTGCGCCACAAGAAATAATAAAAAAAGGCTCCAAGACGCAATCACCGTTACGGAAATTCGTCATTTTGTTCACTCACGCATGTGACCAAGCCCCTTTGATGATTACCCCGCTCCAAAAACACGCAGACCCATGGGGTTATGAAACCGTGTGGGTCCCACAGGAATTGTGTGGGCGTTCGGGTCCATATGGGTCCCTGCACAGTTTGTTTGGGTGTGTGGGTCGCCACAGAGTTTGTGTGGGTGCATAGGTCACCATGGGTCCCCGCATAGTCTGTGTGGGTCTACGAGAGCTGTGTGGGTTCTGCAGAGATTCTTTAGGAGCTGTGTAGGACCAAATTCCCGTGGAAGCCGTGTGGGTAACCCATAGGGTTTCATAACCCCACGCTCTCTGGGCAATCTGTGTAGGAACCTGTGGGGAAATGCATGCTTGACACCGTATTTCACTGCAGACCATTGCCAAGAACCGGCTGGCTCTATCTTTATTTACTGCTTGGCTCTTTATTTCTCTTGCTTTTGCCGGTCGTCTATTTTTTCTCCCAGTATGTGGTTCACTTTTGCTGTCGTCGACATTACAGCAATGACATCCACATGATGTTTTTGGTCACGGAGCTTCATCACTAGGCCTTCTGAAAATATGCAATAACGACATATTTAAAGGAGCACAACCTGTAGACGCAAGGCTTAAACAAGTGTTCATTAAAATCACATGCCATATCACTTTCATGAACAATTTCATTTGGACTTGCCTTTAATAATGACGCACTTGATAATTGCAATTGTGACATGCCCTATAAAATTAATGATTAAAAAAGTTAATTAACAAATCTTGGTTAATTAGTCAACATATTGTGACGGTTATCCCCATATCTATGTCCGCCAAGCTCCACAAATACAGAGTGAAAAAGCATCCACGTAACTCTGGCCCCTCTTTTTTGAAAATTATATTCGAATTAGAATGGCGCGTTCTGCACGATGCCAAACCCGATTATATCGAACTTTCCCTTGTATCAAACGCTTTGTGAACATACTAGTAGCTGCAAGAAAAATGTATAGTGAAAAATGCGGAGACATTGGACGAAAATTGCAGCGTCTCCCGATAGATCGAACTGCCACGAACGCCGTTAAGCTCTGCAAGCTGGCTTTCCCCCAAGCGTGACTCCCATTGGGGGAAAGCCAGCTTGCAGAGAAAGCTGTCTTTTTTTTTTTTTTTGGGGTAACCGCGTCGACCGCCCGGAAGTGAGGAGAGCATGATCCGATGAGACCTTGAAAAACGAAGAAGCGGCCACTGAATAGCCACGTGGAGTGTCCCCTATGACGTACAGACGTTCCTTCGAGAGTAAACAACTTTTCGAAATATGTTGTGTTTGTTTGTTGTCAGATTCATTTAAACTTTCGAGTAGAATTACCCGCTACATGGAACTGGTGGACAGTTTTTTGCGAGTTCGATATAAGAGGGTTTGTCATCGCCATTTGAAAGCTTTTTACGTCCAGCGCCTGATTTTGATAAGTATTGGGCTCATGAAACATACCGTCATCACATCACCGTTTTCCACAACCGAAATCCATAAAAAAGTGCTGGTGATACCCTTAATACAATTCTTGTTTACACTTATGCCTGACTGCGCGGACCGCTAGCAAACGCCAAGCGGGCCGCGTGTTTGAGACCCGACATATGGTGCCCCTCTTCTATCTAATGTTTGAGTAAGCCAAGATGAAAGCATTAAACATAAGTACAATGGTGATGCCGAATTCAGTTTACAGAAAGTGATTAAGAGTGTTCAAACATCCTACCAGTCATTGAGAGTACTAATATACATAACATATTATAACCCTGCTTTTGTTTGCCACTGCATGACAAGCACTTAGAGCTACTGTAATTTTACACAATACCTACTGGCAGTTCACATTGTTTCATGGGCACATCGAAGTGACCAGATAAATGGGCGTATTGCGCTATGATTTATTACAAGGGCATGCCTGAAAGCGGTAGATAAGGAGCTGCGCGGGACTTTGTTGAATCAGTCTCGCTCTCGCTTGCTGTTACGCCGATAAATCGCCGCCCAATATTCAGCTGTCTTGACGCGCGTTCTTTATATTTTTTTTGCTCTAGTTCTCCCATTAAACCTTTTATTTGCAGTTCAATATTTATGGTCTCGTCGCCTTTATCCGTGACTACAATCGTAAACAGAACAGCACACACAAAAAAATCAGGGTTAAGCCTAATGGCCCTAACGAGGAAATGAGCAAAACCCAAAGACGACTTTGGGAGCTTTGAACACCTGAACTGGAGAAGAGTAAGGGCAGCCCAACGAGAGAAAACGGAGGATAATGGGGACACAACCACTGGAACAGGATAAAACTTAGCGTACGTTAAAATTGTCGTTGACAAAAATAAAACTCGAAAACGAAGAATCCTGCCTATGCGCCTTCGACAGAAAACAATATTATGGACGAGCCTTGTGTCGCTGTCCTCCATGGTTTCAAATGCATACTGTGGTCTACAGCGGATTCCTGTTTACTACACGGCCGCACAACTGCAGTTCCCGTCAGGGCCATGAAATGGCTTCATTGCTATACCTCCTTTCATTATGTTATGATGTCGCGTGATCACTCGCTCGCGCACATGGTTCACCAGAGTGTAAAAACAGATTAATAACGACCGCTGTTTCACCGGTGTTAAATCTGGTTCCCATGCAGCGGTTTTGGCCCTAGAGCGGCGCGATTTCTGCCGTCGCGGCGCTCTGGCCAGCGCCAGCGGTTGAGCGGCACGAGCGCCGCGACGGCAGAAATCGCGCCGCTTTATGGCCAAAATCGCTGCACGTGAAACACGCTCTAGGAAGGCTTGTTAGACATCAGCGGCGTGCTAGCGTTGTGCCATATCGCTTGCCGGTTGCTCTGCGGTTGTGCTCCGCCCTTACCTGAAACCTTGAAACGAAGCATTCGCTATCCCGGAGTCCTAAGCATGTCGACTGGCAAGTTTCGCATGGCCCTGCTTCAGATCGCGGTGAGTCACAAAAAAAAAAAAAAAACCTCGACAGAGCAAGCGGGTTAATCAAGAAGGCGGCTTCTACGGGAGCCCAGGTACTCTGCCTGCCAGAATGTTTCACCTTCCCGTACGAGCCGAAGTACTTCCTGCGGTACGCGGAGAAAATTCCCGGTGAAACCAGCGAGAGGTTATCCCGCAGCGCTAAGGAAAACCAGGTCTACCTCGTTGGAGGATCCATGTCGGAGAGTGAAGATGAAAAACTCTACAACACCTGCCTGGTCTACGGACCAGACGGTTCGATGCTGGCCAAGCACCGCAAGGTTCACCTTTTTAGCGTCAACATCCCTGGCAAAATAATCTTTAATGAGTCTCAGTTGTTAACAGATGGACACAAAGTGACCACCTTTGACACTCCGTTCTGTAAAGTGGGAGTCAGAATTTGTTACGACATGGCGTTCTCGCCCTTCGTGCTAATGTATAGGCAGGTTGGTTGCAAGTTGCTGGTGTTTCCAGGAGCATTCAACATGGTTACTGGTCCGCCTTACTGGGAACTATTTTCCAGGTCTAGGGCGGTGGAAAGCCAGGTGTACTTTGCTTCGGTGTCGCCGGTGAGAGATGAAGCAGCACCTTACTTCAATTGGCGTTACAGCATGTTGGTCAATCCGTCCGGCAAAGTGATACGGTCGGCGGCCTCTGGTGAGGAGCTCGTGCTTGCTGACGTGGACTTAGATTATGTGGATTTGATGAGGTATCAGATGCCCAGGAGCAAACAGGAGAGGAGTGATCTGTTCAAAATAGTGACCTCCACAGATGGGGAAACTAACGCGACAGCTTCCTAAACACTCATTCTGCTACGCTGTCATGGCTGCAAGTTTTGGCGTTAGCTCTTCCGAGGTAAATGTAATGACGTTAGCATTTATGTTTCACCTTTTATGTGCGAATGTATTTTTGTGGTTATTTCTTTCTCATGTAAGCTGCGGTGGGTTGCTCAATGCAAACCGCTGAATTGTCTGGACTTCACGCCAAACGTCGCGTCAACCAGGAATGTATTTCTTAGTATGTTTATACCTATTTCGTTTAATAACGTCTGAAAAAGACTTCGTACCTTCCATAATTTAATAAAGCCTTGATGCACCACTTCGAAATTTTCCTGTCAGGAATTGTGTGCTGGTTTTATCGGCGTTTTATCTTTCATTCTAATCTTCAAGCTGTGGTAAAGTGCCCGAAGATGAAACCAGACAACTCTTCATAGCACTCACTTTCTTCTTACCGTAGATCCTGTTATGTTAGTGCTGTGTTCAGGTACTGGACGACTGAACAAACGTTATCACGCAAAGACCTCTATTTGGCAAATGGCGTCCATTGAGCGAAGGCAATCTGCCGGATCGCGGAACACTAAAACAGGAAAGAAGACGAGGTAGAAGATAGTAGCCCAACGAATCCTGATATGGAAATTAAAGCTTATGACTACATTATGATGAATTGGACGCAACAGTTTGCTTAGAGTCACTCAATAAGCTGAACTTAGAGGATTCGCACTCCATTTTCTGATTTTCCTGTGGGTGCTGCATTTTAGTGCTGCTGAGAGGGTGTGATGGATGATTATTGCGATTCAATAATGCAACTTCTTTAGCTGTGGACACAGCGTCAGGAAGCTCAGGTGATGGCGTCTTGCTCTGTTGCGTACCTTTCTGGAGGACGGAAAACAATGCCGCTGAGAGAAGCGGGTGATTGGCCTTCCTATTCTAGCCCAAAGTAAGGTTCATAAGCGATAGAAATCAAGAGTAGCACTTGGGAATAGTCGTCTGCTTTGGACGAAGTGCTTGCTGAGTGACCTACAGCGAACGACATCATCTACCCAACTGGATCGACGTGTCGACGACGCATGGTTCAAAACCTGCTGTTGAGTGAGTTCGTTTGAGTGCCCAGTCTAGGTAAAACTCTTCGAGGTGTCTATAGGCTCTATTCTATTGTTTCTAGTGGTAAGTCCTTTTATAGCCAGATTACATTAGCAGTTTCAACTGCAGCTTTGCTAATGGCAGTTTGCGATCCCCATCTGACTAAACTATATTGGGATGGTTCAACTTAGCCAGGTGTCAGAACAAT